AGCGCCGTGGCCAGCTTGGCCAGGTCGGCGGCGGTGGAGTACATCTGGCCCGACGGGCGGTACCAGCCCAGGTCGTAGAGCGGGGCCGGCCGCCCGCTGCCGTAGAAACCGGCCGCCAAGCGGGCGCGCACGGGAGGCGTCAGGTCGAAGCCGGTGTCCGCCATCCCCAGCGGCTCCAGCACGTTCTCCGCGACCCAGCGCTGGTAGTCACCCTGAGCCGTGTGGGCCGCCAGGACGTGGGCCAGGAGCGAGAAGGCCAGGGTGCTGTAATGGCACCTGGAACGGGAGTGGTGGAGACTGGGAGGCAGCCCACTATGAACATTTCCAGGCCCTGAATACCCACTTCCCACCTGCTCAGACTGTCCAGAGTTTCATTGGACTGGGTCCGTCAGAGAAGGAACCTGCTTCACTGCATCCCAGATGGTCAGACCCAGCAGGGACTACAGACAGCACTAATTCTACATCTGGAAAGAGGAGGGCCCAGAGAGGGGCAGAAACTTGTCCAGGGTCACACAGCAGGTAAGGGGAGAGCTGGGCTGGGCAAAGCACCTGAGAAAGTGGTAAAACAAATTTTATTGGTTCTTTACACTTTAGTATGATTTACTTTAGCAAATGGAAAACTAGAGTCTTAGGCTGCTGGGGGGTGGAGGTGGAATTATAGCAATCACGTAGCTCACGGAGAAGAAACAGGAGGCAGGATGTCAGCCCTCCCTTCTCCCCAGCCATGGCAGACACCAATAAGAGGTCTCTCTCCTTTCCCAGAGGAGGTGCAATTTCAGCATCTCTAAAATAGTGCCTCAAGAAAGCGCAGGACAGATGAAAATCCACAAATCCTTTTAGACATTCCTGAACTCTAGCCCAGCCTCCCTTTTCTACATATGAGGAAGGTGTAGATTTCAAGAGGCAAAGTGCCTCCTCCAAGGTCACACAGCAAGTTAGTGGCAGAGCCGAAAGGAGGACTCCAACCTGCAGGTGCCTGAGCATTACCTGGGTCCTTTCTTCCTCAGGGAAGTGGGGCCTGAGGTTCAGCATTTGAAGAAGCAGATGGGGAAATTTTAAAGGGAGGCATCTTTTTTTAAAAAAAAAAAAAAGACCAACGGGGCTGGAAGAGTGCCTCCGAGGCAGGGGAGTACCAGCTGTCCTCTGTCCAGCCCCACTGTTTGCAGAGTTGGGCTGCTTTGTGCAGTGGCCACCCCAGCTATCCACTCCCTATCTCATCAGTATCCCATTTATTTCCATGATGGCACTTGATAAAATGTGCATTTATCTTGCTTTTCTGTTCACTGATGAGAATGTTCACTGTTGACTCACAGGAATGCAAACTCCGTGAGGAGGGACCTGGTTGGATTAGTTCGCTTCTGTATCTCAGTTTAGCATATTCTGGGCACAGAGTAGGTGCTCAATAAATGTTGAGTTGATGAATGGAAAGAAGGCGAGGTTCAAACAGAACCTGCCTTGCTGTACCACCCCTCCCTGGACTGAGGTCTTTCCAGCTTTGGAATAGGGGTTGTTTTCAGTGACCCCGAGGTCTCTTCTGGCTCTGACCACTTGGAATGAGGTGATGCAGTCTCTCTCCCAGGGTGGTGGTGTCTCCTGGGAAGTTCCTAACATTGGCAGAGCAGCAGGGCGCACTCCTCACCTGGTTCCCGGGACCACTACCAGCACATCATCCTGGAGCAGGCTCAGGGCCTCCTGGGTGCTGCCCCTCCATAGCAGCGAGGTGGATCGGAGCCTTCTGGGCAGCCCTGGGGAGGAGCAGTGGTCAGACCTACTGGTCCAACTGAAAGTGGATGTGGGCTTTTGGGTGCACTTCCCCCCCACCTTCCATGGTTGAAAGAGAACAACAAAGTTACCTTAAAAATATAGTCTAGCATGGACTCCAATCCTACTTGTGTTTTATTGGGCAAGCTATGTAACCTCTCAAGCCCCCATCCCCTCGCCTCTAACGTGAGGGAAATAATTCCTCTATCATAGGGAAGATGTGAGGATTGGGTAAAATAAAATGCTTAGCATGGCATCTGGTCATTGTAACCACTCAAAAAATTATTATCATCAACTATACAAGTTTGATTCCATAAAATTCCTGAGATCACTGGCCAAACAGCTTTGGACTTTTCTAACCACTTGGACTTGTCTGTTTATTAGGTGTAACAAATATTGGATGTATCATGGGGTTGGGGTTCTTTCCATCCATCCACTCAACGATAGATTTCAAGCCTCTGTTTTGTGCCAACCACTGTTCTGGGTACTGGGGATTCAGTAGTGAGCAAAGTCTCTGCCCGTGTGGAGTTTACATTCTAGTGGAGGGGATAGACAACAAGCAAATAAATATTTATGCTACAGAGAAAAGTAATTTGGTCAGAGGAAGGCCACACAGAGGTTACCCTCAAGCAGGGGAGACCTGGAGAAAGTGAGACACTCTTTTTTGTAAGAAAAGAATGTCTCAGGCAGAGGGAATAAGTGCAAAGGTCCTGAGGCAGGAATGTCTTGGACTATTTGAGGAATCGTGTGGAACAGCCAGTGTAGCTGGAGAGGAGTGAGAATGGGGAGACTTTGGCCAGTTCAGTAAGCAGAGCAGAGAGTGGGCCCAGCCTGGCTGGATGAGAGTCCGCTCCTAAGTTCCCCCACCTGAATTGTTTGAGGCTGAGCAAGGTAAGTTCAGAACCACTCACCTGAGAGTTGGCTGGCCATCCTTCGGAGGGTGACAGGAGAAGGCCTTGGGGCTGGGCCCACCTCCCCCAGCCCATCCATCAGGCTCTGTTGTTCGGGGGCTGATGCCATGCCCAATGGGTTGTTAATGGTGAAGGTGCTGGCATACCGCTCCAGAGGGTCATCTAGAGAGGCTACGATGCCCTCCTCCCACAGGCGGTACAGCATGAGAACTGGAAAGATCTTGGAGACACTGGAGATCCTGGACAATGTTGGGGGCACAAAGGTGCAGAGGGCATCCTGTTGGCCCCATAACCCATCCCTACCCTGCGCCCCAGTCTCCAACTTGCTAACATTCTAAAAAAGCACCGAGTCTACCTTATTCGACATCTTGATGGAAATTCACAGCCTCTGCAGAACTGGCTCTGGGATGCTTGAGAATATGCCAGAGGCAGTGGGGCGGGGCTGGTGGACACTCTTGAGCATCTGCCCATGGCAGCCCTCCCCCAGGCCCTTCCCACTGTGGGACAGACCGGGGCTGCTCACGCCTCTGCCTCTCACTGGCTGAGCGGTCTTGGACAATTACTAGACTTTCTGAGATTCAGCTTCCTTGTTTGTTTCACAGGTTTTAGAAAGGGTTGAACAAGATCGTGCATATAAAGTGTTTGGCAACATACCTGGCAGGTAGTAAGTGCTCAATAAGTGACAGAAAGTATAATTGTTGTCCCCAAGCTTGGCCCATGGCAGGTGCAGTGTGAATGGAACTCCTGTAATCCTCACAGTATCTCTGGGAGCAAGTGTGTTCACTTTGCATCGTGAAATTTAAGGATCCTGGGGGAGCACCTAGGAGGGGAGACTCTGGGTGTTCAGCAGAATGTCCCCAGTGGTTTACATCTGGGCCACTGCTGCCAACTGACAGGGACCTGGGCCAAGAGCCTAGGAACTGGTTACGGTTCCACTGTGGCACGTGGAAGTGAGTGAGTGATGGAACACAAGGGAACCTCTTGTAATTAGGGAGGTTTGGGGCTAAGGGCTCTCCAGAAGGGAGTCCGTGGTGTGATGTTGGGCACTCATTGGTCCTCTCTAGACCTCACTTTCCTCATCTATAAAATTGTCAGGACTTAATAAAGGGCCCTGGCAGCTTGGACCCCCAGTCATGTTTCTCTTGAGTTCCCCTGTCTCCTAGCTCTCCCCTGTTCTCCCATCCCTCACCCCTCCATTGGACCCTGGAGGTCGCCCTGCTGACCGGTACATGGTGTACTCATTGGGGGGCCCAGAAGCCGGGTCTAAGCCATTCTTCTTCCCAAAGTTCCCAGTCCAGAGCACTGTGTCATTGTGGACGACAACTGCAGATATGGCAGCCAGCCCTGGGGCAGACAGTGCCTCACGGAGGATCCTGTCCACCTAGGAGAAGAGCAGGAGACTCAGCATGTGGGTGCAGAGACACACCTCACTTGTCACCTGCACAGCCTGCCCATTCCCACACCACACCCTGCACACAGCATCCCCGCCTGGCTCCTCTCCACTCTCCCCCCACCAGGTTGCTGGAGGGGAGCCCAGTGAGCCTCGGGACCGCGCTGCTGCTCTTACCTGTCTGATCATGTTTCATTTGTCTGTATGCCTCCTCAGGTGAGTGACCCAAGTGGGTGGGGTCTGACTGGCACAGACTAGAGCTACCTGACAACCTCCTCTGCTATTAGGTCATCCTCAATGGTAAAAGTTATGTTGGGGGGAGTGTTTTTAATTATTTTGCAGTGGCCTCTGAGATATGGGATGTGTCATCCTTTCCAATCTCATCTTTCTCCTACCTCTACCTATGGCCCCACAAGACTGAATTTCCTCATAGTGCCTTGTACTTACTCTGCTGACTCTGGGTCTTGGCACATGCTGTTCCCTCTATCTGGAGCACACTCTTCCCTCCCCCAAGCTCCNGTGTCTTTAATTATTTTGCAGTGGCCTCTGAGATATGGGCTCTGTCATCCTTTCCATCTCATCTTTCTCCTCCCTCCACCTATGGCCCCACAAGACTGAATTTCCTCATAGTGCCTTGTACCTACTCTGCTGACTCTGGGTCTTGACACATGCTGTTCCCTCTATCTGGAGCACACTCTTCCCTCCCCCAAGCTCCCTTACTATTCACACGCACACCAGCCTCATATTTCCTGTTGGTCACACCTCAGCTTAGACACCACTTCCTCCAGAAGCCTTCCCTGACTCCAAGGTTAGTTTTTGTGTGCCCCCATAGTCCCCTAAACTTTCTCTGTCCTCACACTTATCCCTGTGCTTTCGCTGTTTATTGTCTTGACTGTTCCCTCGCTCCCAGACTAGTAGCTGCTTCTTAAGAACAGGACACTATCTTCTTTCTGCCATGTCCCTGGTGTCTAGCACAGAGTCGGTGCTCAAAAGTTCATGAAGAATGAATGAATGCTACTTCTGGCGCAGAGAGTGTACCTTCCCCCTTTTCACCCAGGCCTGGCACACACCCTCCTGGGTCGTCACTGACCTTTTCTAGGGCCTCCTTCAATACGGGGAGGGGGTGTGCCAGGGGCACAGGCTCAGGGTGCTGGGGACACATCCTCACAGGGGCAGAGGTAGCTTCTGGTCCCAAGGAATCTGCAGGGAATGTCACATGGTGAGAAGGGGACAGAGATCAGGATAGGAGTCTAGGGGCCATCCTAGAAGAGGTGGGAAGGTGGCAGCAAAGGCCAGAGCCATACCTTGGGCCCAACCCTCCCAGCTGGCAACAGCCTCACCAGGAGCTATCAGGGTATCAAGGAACAAAGAGCAGAGTATGCCCGGAGAAGAAGGGATAGTTCCACACGGGCCACCTGCTGCTTGGCCTTCAAGATACCAATTAAGCCACAGTTCCGGGTGGCAGCCCTTCTCTCTTGCGCAGCCAGCTTCCTCCCTCCGTGTGATCAGCAGGCTTAGACAAGTTCCAGCTCCTCAGGGCGGGCTCAGCCATGTGTCCATCTGTCTCTCCCCAGTTCTGATTATATGTTTGGGTAGAGAAGTGGATTTGGCTTCACTTAGGCTTTAGGCTTAAACCACAAGGGAGAACTCATTCTATCACCAGAACCATGTGTCAGGCATGGGGGGGACTTGAGTCTCATTTGCTTTGGTCTGGCTGTATGGCTTCCTTGGAATTCAGAATCCTGGCTGGACAGGATTCTGGCTGGAAGAGCATCCCATTTGTCCCCAGACCTCCCCTCATCTCTGAGGACAGTGTGGAATGGTAAGGGTACAAGCACCCTGAAAAGCTGCACCCTTTTCAGATCCTCCCACTGTTCCCAACACTGCCCAGAACCAAGACAGGGCTGGAGGTTCACTGTGACCGTAAACTATTTTAGCTCCTCCCACCTCTAGCTAGACTCTGGCTGGCTTTGTGACTTGCTTTAGCCAAAAGAATGAGGCCGGATTGATCACTGATCCTGGGCCTTCCAAAATTTGGCCTTAATGGGCCTTTGCCCCTTGGGAATACTGCCCCCTCCTAGATGAGGCTGGTATAGTGACTTTGAGTGAGAAAGTCCACATGGAGGAAGAGACCCAGCTCTCCCAGCTGACTTGCCCGCTGCATTGGAGAGAGCTCAGGTTAGAACAGCAGCAGAACTGCCAGCCAGCCCACAGACTCATGAGAAAGAATAAATCACTTTTTCTGAAGCCAGCAGGTTTGGGGGTGGCATTAGGATCCTCATTTTATACATGAGGACATCATGGCACAGAGAAGTCATATGACTGGCCCAATGACACACGGTTAGAGTTGCAGTCTCAGTGGAGGCCAGAGCGTCTGTGTGTAAATCTTATGATAGCCCCCTAAACCCTGGGATCAAGAGTGGCAGCTCAAAGCCCACAAGGATCCACGGGGGTAGGGAGAAACTCAAGGTTTCTGCACTCACCAGTCGCCAGCTTGGGGAGGAAATACTGCCACAGGAAGCAGCCAGTCATGAGCACAGAGAGCAGGGAGAAGAAGCTGCAGGACACCGGGAAGATCCACTTCTTTTTTATTTTCAGCTGGCTGATCTGCCAGCCAGCCTGGAAGGGGAAGGACACAGGGCACAGCCCCCATGGGGGTCAGCCAGAGAGAAGAGAGAGAGGGACCCCCTACCCTGGGCCCTCCTATGCCTTAGGTTCACCCAGACATCAGGAAAGTCCACAGCTTGGAGTAAATTTCACACCTGTGAAACCAAGGTCCTTCCCAATATGACCCGTTCAACAGCTCTGCCACGCTTGACCTCTGCACCTCTGTGCCTTTGCATAGCCTGTTCCTTCTGCTAGGCATGCTCTCTCTCCTGTGCCCTTAGTGATGGATCTAAGACCAACCGAAATGCTACCTCCTCCATGAAACTATCCGCAACTCTTCACCCAGGTCCTCTCCAAGGCACTTGGAACAAACCTTCCTTACGGTGCAAATCCAGCTCTCTATCTATTCAGCAGTTGTTGGACGGCTGTTAGCTGATCTACCTAATGCTGAGTCCTCCAAGGAAGGGGCCGCTTCTTTAATTTCCCTCCTCCCCTCCATGGCCTCTGGTTTACCCTGGTTGGTTTTGTTCACCGTGGCATTCCCAGGGCCTAGAGTAGTCCCTGGCACATCGCAGGCCCTAATAAATATTCGTAAATGAGTGACTGGATCACAATAAAACATCCTAGGCAGAGTTGAAGCCCTCTGAGCACACTTTGTGATTTAAATCTCCTCTCCTCCCCCCAATGAAACACCCATTCTGGTCATGTCTGTCATCGCGAATGCTCTCATCCGGCTGTGTCCATGGATCCACCAAGAGCGTGTAGCAGAGTTTTGCGTGTCCTAAACTTACGCAAATGATATCCCACTGTATTACCCTCCTGCACTTGCTTTTTTCCCAGTGCGATACACCTAGTTCTGGATTACTCATTTCAACTTCTGTAGAGTACGCTGTTGCACAAATATACCTCATAGTGTAATAGAGCATGGAGTCGAGCCAGGCTGCCTTACGAATGGGACTATTTTAAACATTTGGGGCGGGAGCACGGCGCCCAGGAGTGAAGTTTCTGGGTGGTAACATGTGGCCGTCTTCTGCTTAACCAGATTCTATCCATCACTCTTCAGAGTTGCTCCAATTTACATGCCTGCCGCCTGTGATTCTCTTTGCTATTTTTAATTTGCATTTCCTCGATTACTAATGAGGCTGAACACCTTTTCATGTGTTTCCTGTATATATTTGGGTTTCCTTTGCCTGTTTTTTTTTCTATTAAGTTTTCTTCATTTAGAGCTGTTTATAAGCCCTAGATACTCCTGCTCATAGGGTGTCTTTTCACGCTGTGTTTATGGTAATTTTTGTGGAGAGACTGTGCCTTGGGCATTGTCGCATTGTGGCAGGTTTGGATGGGAGGGAAATTTGAGGGTGCTCCCCTTTGAGCATGAGCAGAGGGCCACTGGGGGGCGCCCCGGCGGGAGGGCTGCCTGTTCTCCCTTAACAGGCCCCTACGGCATGGCATTTTCAGGTGAAGAAGGAAGCTGGAGACATTAAACGACTTACCGAGGTCATGAGCAGCAGACAGTGGAGCTGGGATGGAGCTCTGTGCTATGCACCACCCCACCCTCTGCATGTGGCTGGGGTCTCTGCACCCCCACCTTGTAGCCCTCCTCGGGGGCCCAGCCATATCTCACGCCCGTCTCCACTCTCAGCATTTATTCCAATAGACCCGAAGGTGGAGCCAGTATTTAACCTCTAAGCTGCTCACCAGCTGCTAACATTTCGACTCACAGTGACCACTAGGAATCTCTCCCCTCTCCCTTCCAGCTGGAAAAAGCTGGCAGGGGGAGGGCTCAGGAAGAGCCAGGCTGTCCCAAACCCCACGCATAACCCACCTCCCCCAGCTCCTTCCTCAGCTGGTCTCCAGCCCACAGAACCTCACCTCCCTTCTCCCCTCACTGCCCAGTCATACATTCAGAGACAGTCCCCAAGGGCAAGCTGTGTGCTGGGCACAGTGCTTCTCCCTGGGGCTCAGTGCCTTTGGCCAACATCTGTCCCCTCTGGAGCCAGCAGGATGGTGGAGCAATCAGACTCAGGGCTCTGGGCCCAGATGAGGCACGACTTGATTCCAGTTCTGCCCTTACTAGCTTTAGACAAATGACGCCACCTCTTTGAGTCTCAGTTTCGTCGTCTGCGTAATGGGAATGACCTTGGTTCCTACACCGCACAGAATTTAGGTAAGGGTAAATGCGATGATGCATGCGAAGCCCTAGAAAGCTGCTCGATTGGTAGCCAGCGTTGTTTAATAATAATTTCTCTGGGAGACAGATGTAAACAGATCATGGGCACAGAGCTCTGGGGGCGCCAAGGTACCCATGAGCTCAGCCTCACGGCAGGGGCGACGGGAAGGAAAGCTTCGTTGAACCGGGGGTTGGGGATGAGTTGGGGGCGTTCCGATCCAAGGCCTGGAGATGTGGAAAGGAAGAGGAACAATGCCGGTTTGTGTTGAGAATTCAATGAGTCGGTGCACATCAAACGCCAGGCACTTCCTGGCCAGTGGCGCACACTCGAGAACCGTGGGTGACGACAGTGAAGGTGCTGCGGGGTGACCTAGGCTCACTTTCCAAGCCAGCCCGAGTGGGGCCGTGCCTCACCTGAGTCTCCATTCTCTCCAAGGCGAGGGAGATCCCAGCTCGCTGCGGATTCGGGTCTGCGGCCCAGGAGACACTGTGCGTGGAACGTTCAGTCAGAGGAGGGGAGGCAAAGAGAGGTCTCGGGGGGGAAGCTGGAAAGGGAGGAAGGGGGGAGAAAAATGCTAGGATGAGGGGGGTGCAGAGCAAACCGTCCCCTTCATGAAGCTCCACCTCAAAGGCAAGGGGAAGCCAGCTCAGAAACCCCGAGAGGGTGACCAGCTGTCTGGGTCTGCCCAGGTCTGTCTTGACTTTAGCACTGAACAGTCTGAGTTCTTCATCCCAACCGGGAAAGCTGGTCACCCTGCCAGACCCCCAGAGTGCTTAGCCCCAACTCACCCTCTTCTGGAAGGCTCAGGAAGGACAGGGCAGTTCAGGCCCCGCCATGGCTGCCCAGCGCCTCTCGGAATCCCCGGGGTTCCAGGGGACAGGAATGGCTTCCTGGGCTCTGAGGCGCAGGCTTCACCCAGGCTCCCCAGGGGCTGGCAGATGTGCTGCCCGATTTCCCAGCACTAAGCCCTCTGTGCCCTCCGCCATGGGGATTAGTTCCTGGGGTCCCCAGGCGGCAGGGAGGGGGGAACATCTGTCAGGGAGACTGGCAGCACCACGTGACCCAAGATGCTCCAGATTGGGGGGCAAAGGAAGTCTCTCCAGAAAGAGTCATTGTCAAGCCCAATATAAAAGAGATGAGAGAGGGGCTGTCAGGAAACAGCCCATCCACAGGCCTCCCAGCCTCACCTGCCACCCACACCAGCTTCTCCTACCTCTGAGGAACCTGAGGCTCCAAGGAACACAGTTTGAAAACCACTGGGGTGGACCACCCTTTGAGGAGCGAGGCTCCGCAATTCGTGGGTTGCGCCAGCCTCCACATCATTGTGTCAGTTGCCTCCCGGCCACCCTGTGGTTGGACGGGGCTTGAATTATCTCCGTTTTGCTTAAGCTCAGGGTTGGGTAGTGAATGGGTGGAGGCTGGCTTTCTGGGTCTTCTTCTCTATCCCCCGTGGGCAAAGATCTGGGCTGGCCTGGAAAAGGGGCTTGATGCATTACAGTGAGAAGAGAGCTGAGTGGTGTTGTCCAGACTCCACATTGTGTGGCTCTGAGAGGGGAGGTCACATCGCAAGTTGGGTGACAGCGGCGGAGCTGGGATCCAGGTTTTTTCCATTGCACCTGCTGCTTGCTTCATCTTTCCTGAGGCTCAGAGCAGGATGGGCAGCCTGCCTCTGGGTCACATACTGGGTGCTGACAATGTGCCAGATACAGGTGCTTAGTGCTTTCTGTTACCTCCTTAGGTTTTCACAATCCCCCCGGGGCAGGTCCTATTCTGTGCCCATTTCACATATGAGGAAACTGATGCTCTGAGAAGTGAGGTCCCAGGAAGTGGCAGGACTGGAATTTGGACCCAGGAGACCTTGCTGATTCCCAGACACTAATCCATCTCCCATGTTGTCTCCCCATCAGACGCAGAGGTCCTCTAGGGCAACGACCACGTCTCATTCTGGTTTGTGTCGCCAAACCAGGGCTGAAGGTCTGAATCAGTTAATCCGCTCCAGGGTTCTGCACCTCTGCTGAGAAAGACTCTCACTCCCAGGCCCCCAGCTCCTCTCTGGGAGCTTGCCTGCTGCCCGGTGCCCCAGCCCCAGTGAATCAGTTTCTCACCTCCCAGACCAACCCAGCCCCTCCCGAATTGAGCCAACTGGAATCCATAGCATGTCCTACAGAAAAGTGGCCACGTGGTGGCAGTAAATGCCCACGTGTGAAACCTTCTGGCCCAGCCCGAGCCGCCTCTTCTGCAGAAGCATCTATTCCTCGAGGGCCTCTCTTCTTCCAGGCATTTGTCCAAGGACTTTCCCCCGTGAACCAAGATAATCTCCACAGCAGCCCCCTGAGGGAGGAGCTGTTCCTCCACTTTATAGCTGAGAGATCGTGTTAGTCCCTTGCTTAAATTCCCTTCGCGGCTGCCTACTGCTCTTCGGAAAAGATCACAATCCTTATCTGCATCGTCTAAACCTCACCCAGCGGGGCCTTGAGTCAGACCTCCAGAGTTCAGATCCCAGCTCCCCCACTTATTATGTGACTTTGGTCAGCTTTCTTGGCTTCACTTGGGCCTCAAAGTGCTCATCTGTAAAACAGGGTAACGAAATAGAACCTCCTCCCTTGCGGGGGGAGCAAGGATTCCCTGGGATGAGGCACCTAAAGCACCAGCGCCCCCGGCTGGCACACAGCAAGTGCTCAGTGAACAGCAGCCACTGTTATTTCCGTCGGGGTCGCTCCCCTCTCCTCCCCGGGCTCCCGCAGATCTCTCCTCCTCTCTTCCTTCCTCCCCTTGTCTCCTCTCCCACTTTTCCCCTGTCCTCTCCCCACCTTTCCCACTCCCCTCATGCCTCCTCTTCTCACTCCCACTGTACTTTCTTGTCTCCACCTCTCTTCTTCCACCTTCAGAACTCATTCCAGCAGTCCCAGTGCTGCTTTGTGGTGTTTTCAAATTTCTCTCATCTGGGCAAGATGTTCAGCTTTTCAGAACTAGGAGCAGAACTGCTACACTGATGGATGCCCAGAGGGTTAGAAGGTCCCCAAGTCCAAGTGGACTAGACTTCAGGGACTCCTGCTGGGTTCCTCTCTGCACCCCTCACCCGAAACTCTTCTAAGGTCTACCTCTCAAAGTGGTCCACTTCCCAGATTATTTTGAGGTCACTCTTTTGACCCCAATTCCCTCCAGAACATTCCCAGAGAGAGAAGATGACTGTCCCCACCCTCAGCGTCAGGACTGTTCAGAAAGAAGGTGACTGAAAAGATATCAAGGACAAATTCAACTGTAAAGAGGAAAGTCTCTCCTAGAGAATCTGTGAAGATACTTAGCATTTCTCCCAGCCAGGCTCTGGTTGACCCATTAATTCATCTGCCTGCTCCCTTACCCATTGACTCATTCAAAAGACACTTTTTGAGGATCTGCCATATGCCAGGGGTTGCACTTGGGCCTGGGAGAGGACACAAGGGCAAAGCAGACATAGCAACATATTCTCATTGCCGACACATATTTATTGAGCACCTACTAAGTGCTGGGTGCTGTTCTAGGTGCTTGAGATATCTCAGCGAACAACCCCAACTAAGGTCCCTGACCCCACAGAGCTTATATTCTGGCAGGGGCCGCATAATAAGCTGAATGGTGTATTAGAAAGTGACACCTGCTATGGAAAAATAAGTAGAGCCAGGCAAGAGGGGCAGATTATAATACTAAACTGGGCAGTCAGGGTGGCCTCATTGAGAAAGAAACATCTAACAAATCAGCTAAAGGAATAAAGGGAATAGATATACAGACGGCAGAGGAAGAGAGTCTGGGGAGGGCACATCCAGTACAGGCGTTTTAGGGTGAGAGTGTGCCTGTCGCGATAAAGGAAAAGCAAGGAGGCCAGAAGCTGGAGCAGACTGGGGGGCTGTCGTAGGAGAGGTTGGAAAGGGGGAGTGCAGGTGGTGGAGAGCCTCATAGGCCACAGGCAGGGCTTTGGTTCTCTGAGTGAGCTGGGAGCCACTGCAGGGTTTGGAGCTGAGGAGCGGCATGACCTTCTTCCAGGTTCCCTTTGGGCCCAGGGGCAGTAGCATCCCCCAGTTACCAGCCGAGGGGCACTGCACCATCCTTGTGGGTCCCCCGCTCACACTTCTGTAAGTAGTCCCTTTTACACAGCTTCGTGGGGCATTGCTAATGGCCTTGCTGTCTGGCCAGGCCAGTGGACCATCGGAGCTGGGCCATGAGGAGAATATTCATATGGTAACCCCAGGCTGTGGAAACAGACACAGCAATTCAGCCACGAACTTGATCTGTATGTGACATGTGACCAAACTCACAGTAGGGCCCTGCTTCTTGCAGAGAACATCTGGAATGAAAAGCTGATCAAGACTGTGTGGCCATCACATCCACTTTGGTGCCCTCGATCCATGCCTGGACCCCCCACAATAGCAGAGCCATCAAGGAGGTCTGACGTGGCCCAGCGACGACCCATTTTGCCTATGAAGTCACAGTGTTCGCGGAGTGTGTATCACTTGCCAGTAATGTTGGCCTGTGACTCAAGGTGATTCAAGGTATGACACAACGATCTGTGGATCTCACCAGTTCACAATACGCAAGTTGGTTGCCATGAATTCTGACCACCATCCTGACCTAGTTGAGGATATGGGTGGCTGTTCTCTTGCACCAACCAGGCACCACCTAGACCCTTAAGGCTCTGATGAGCACCTTTCTCATGTGCTGGAATTTCCTGACATGATACAATCTAACGATGGAACTATCTGTGGGTCCTGTCAACGTGGAATTTGCTTGCCCTTCCACATTGGCCACCTGCAGGTGGGGAGCAAAATCGAGCCGTGGTGTGGCTGGCTCAAGGAGCTGTTGCATCAGCCACCCCCTCACCATGCTCTGTGGACATCTGTCAGGCAGAATGGTGACTCCTGGGCTCCTGTGGGGGTAGATGCTCTGGGAAAGGGACAGGTCATCGGCTCATCCCAGGCACGTGACTGACCTAGCAAGAAAATACGCAGGAAATCTCAGAAAACAGACCAAGGGAAAGAACTTCTCATCTCATCTTCCAGATCTGGACAGGCTCTACCTTTGAGCATATGTGGAACCTGGGACATTCTCACCGCCTCGACTGCAGTGACGGCAGCTCCAAGCCACCCCCACCTCTCACCTAAACAAGCCCCTGGTCTCCCTGCCCCACCTTTGCCCTCTAGTCTGCTCTCAACACAGAAACCAGGGCAGTCCGGCTCCAGAGACCCTGCTCTTAAACAAAACAGGATACAGGAGTGTCATCATACAATGAGAAGGCAGAGGAAATGTCAGGACCTAGAAGACTAATCAACAGTCACAGATGTTATTTACTGAGCACTGACTGTATACAAGCCACTATGTTAGGTCTACGGGGAGATATACAGGTGAGCAGGATGCTGTGCTTGCCCTCGAGAGTCTACAAGCCAGCTGGAGGGTGGGGAGGGGCTTTAGAAATGGGTGCCCATCAAGTGTCAGGAGGTGGTGACACATTCCACAGTAGAACTACAGATAAAATGCTAGGACAGGGCTAAGGAAAGAGATTCATTACAGCTGGGTCGAGGGGCGCTTTCTGGAGGTGTTAGCTTTGGAAGAAGAGAATTGTAACAGCAGAAAGGGGAAGACAAGGGATCCCAGGGGAAGAAACCATGTGAGCAGAGAGGTGGATGTGTCTGGGGGCGAGAGCCAGTCATCTGGTTTGGTTAGAGTTCATGGGACTTGTAAGAGAGAGACGGTTTTAAGTGGGATGAAGTCACAGTGAGGTAGTGATGTCCTTTCCACTTCTTATGGAGAAGTCTCAGCTTGGTGCTAGCGTACCTTTTAAGCACTAACACTCGCTAATCTCAGTTTTTAACCCGAAATTCACAGGTTCAGATCCTTCAGAGGGCAACTCAGCTCAGGTTGGAACTTAATAACATCATTTTGTTTCCATTGTCTTTATTTTGACAGTTCTGTTTCAGGCAAATGATGCTGTTTTTAATTTACAGATAAGTTATTTATTTTTATTATTATGTTCCTTTACAGATACATTTATTTAAGGAAAAAATAGTTGATTTAAAGGGAAAATATTGAGTTAAACACTCAAGTGGTCCACGACTATGGCAAAAATCAGCGAGGTGGTACCCTAGTGACTGAGGTTTAGGTTTTGGTATGGAGCATAAAGCATGTGCGGGTGGGAAATGGGGGGAAGGCCTGGCAAGGGGACCAGATGATGGAGGGCCTGAACATGAAGAAGGGAGTGTGGGTTTGATTGTGCAATAGTGGGGAGACGTTGGCTTGAGAGCAGGCACTGGACACACTCAGAGCGTGCTTCACAGGGCTTGCTCTGGCCTCTGGGTGCAGAGTGAGGGGGAGACCAGAGGCCGGGACAGCGCTGGGGAGGCCACTGTGAGACTCAAGGTGAACAGGGGCACAGCGCCCTGACCTGGGTGGGTGACCCACCTGAAAGGGAGGAAGGGCTGGCACCCAAGCTGGCAGGTTGTGTCCTAGGGTGCTGTCTGGCTCACCTGGTGAATAGATTTCTTTCCCAGAGGTGACCTTGCAGCCTCCAGGCATCCTCTGCAGTGTGATTTACTAAGAAAATCCCACAGTCTCTGACGGTTTTACTGAGGAAAGGTACCGCCAGAGGAGGCCGGCCCACCCGTCTGCCCTCAGGGGGAGTTGGAGGTGCACTCGGTGAAGGTGGAGACGATGGACTCCTGCCTCCTCAGCCTGTGCTTCCCCACGGGGAGCCGCTGACAGCTCGACCTCCTGTAGTGATTCATTTTATTCCATACGACGAACATCTGATTTTCTAGGACCTTCAGCTTCATTTCACTGAACATAAGTCTTTCAAGGATCTTGTCCTGGAGGGCGAAGCAGGCGTGGAGTCTCTCGATTTCTCTCATGCTCATGGCCTTGGGTTTGGCTTCGGGGGTCTTTCGTCTGTCTGTCTTCTCCTAAGCCCCCACCAGCAGGAAAAGAGGAGAGGTTGATTCATGATGATGACCCCCCCATTCCCGTGCCAGGTGATCTATGACCGTCATCTTAATTCTCACGAGCAGCCCACCAGGAGATGATTTACAACCGTCTTGTGGGGGAGAGAACTGGGGCCCAGTGAAGGGAGGTCGCTTTCTCAGCATCACCCAGCCTGCGGAAGAGACCCCATACTCCCAGGACCCACAGCTCCCTTTGGTTCCTAGAAGAACATAAAACCTTTAACCCAGGTGAATCTGTCTGCAGAGCTGTGCTTTCCCCGGTGTCCCCAAGAGTTTATCAGGCACTGCAAAGTCTCTGCTGCCAAGTCTCAGTGGCTCACGACATGCTCTTATCGCTATGGTCCTCAGCTGCCCCCTCACCCAGTATAATAATTATTTAACTTTTCTTTGGGGGATTCAACTACAAACTCCTAGTCTTTACAACCCTTCACAAATTAAGTAATTCAGACATACCCAAAAAAGTAAATATTACAACAAAGACCCATGTCTCCACACCAGCTTAAGAAATAAAATATCACAAACACAATTGTGGATCCCTCTCCCAGAGTGGTCGCCTCCCTCCCTGAACCTCATCTCAGCTGCAATCCTGAATCTGTCTGGTGTTTACTTTTTCCATGCACTTTTTTATACCAGTGGTTCTCAATCAGAGGCTATTGTGCCCTTCCCAGGGGACCTTTGGCAATGTCTGGAGACATTTTTGGTTGTCACAAAAGGAGTGACGGGTGCTATTGGCATCTTATGGGTGAAGGCTGAAGATGCTGCTAAACATCTAACAATGCACAGGGCAGTCCCTCCCAACAAAGAATTATCTGGCCCCAAGTGTCAGTCATGTGGGAGTTGAAAAATCCCTCCTTAATGTACTTTCACTAAACATGTGCATTCATAAACAAGATAAGGTATTGTTTTGCATGTTTTTAAACTTTATATAAAATATGTCATAATCCATGTACATCTCTCCTATCTTCATTATTGTATTTTAAAGCTGTATCTACGTTATACATGTATCTTTAATTTATTCATTTCTTGTTTTCCTTTAAAGTGAGTGTTACTGCCCTGGCCGGTTTGGCTCAGTGGTTAGAGGGTCAGCCCTTGGACTGAAGGCTCCTGGGTTTGATTCCAGCCAGGGGTGTGTACCTCGGTTGCAGGCCTGATCCCCGGCCCCAGTCGGGGCAAGTGCAGGAGGCAACCAATCTATGTGTCTCTCTCACATCAATGTTTCTCTCTCTCTGTCTCTCTCTCTGTCTCTCTCTCTCTGTCTCTCTCTCTCTCTCTACTTTCCACTTTCTCTGAAAAGCAATGGAAAAATGTCCTCAGGTAAGGATTTTAAGAAATAGAGTGTTACCGTTGCCAAAGCATGTTGGCATCAAACACAAAGTAGGAGAGTCTGGGGTGGTCCCGATTTTATAGCTCAGGCAACTGAAGCCTTGTGAAGGATGTGCTTGGCCCGCATCCCCCAAGAGGCAGCTGCAGAGCAGGGACTTAGACCAGACTGGTGGATTCCTCAGTCTTGCCCCACTATCCTGACACCTTCCCTGTCCCCCAAACCCTAGTCTACCTGTAAATATCCCATCACCCTCAGCTGAAGCAAAGACTCCTCTTGCTCACCTGCTTGGGATCCTGGGAGGTGGGTTTAAATTCATACTTGACCAGCCAGTTGCTAAGCAGTAGCAGAAGGAATAGGAACCCAAACAAGACTGGCTTATAGCTGATCAGCCAAGCCACCAATGCTCCCATGGTGCCTGAGGAATCAAGTATCTCGTAGATATTCGTAAAAAGAGACATTAGTTCTTCCAGCATTCTGGCTTGGTGGCACCCAGGCCCCAAGACCCAGCCTCAGTCCCCCCTCTGGGACAGTTGCCTCCATACCAGGAGTCATGGCTGCCCCCTCAGCTCTGAGTCATGATCAGCCCCCAGCCCCCAATTGTTGCATAACAATAATATTAACTATTCCTATGTCTTAAGCAGCCACCACGTGCCAGACTTGGACAGGCAGTTTGCAAGCATCATCTCATAATGTCCTCTTAACAGCTGGTTGATGTAGACCTTAATGATACCTCTTTCATTCAACAATACTTCTGGGCCTAGCCACTGAGACTAAAACAGCCATCATGAGGGAGACTGCAAAGAAAAATTACCCCAAATGTGGAAATAAGGCTAAAAGTTTACTGCAAGTTTGTTCACAATAATACTAGAATATTATCTAACTGGCCCACCTGTTGGTCACCTGATGCTTTAGGGAAAGGTGACTTTGACTTACTATTTAATATTGATTTGGGTTCCCACTCTGTAAAGTCAAATGTTCACTTTTTAAAAACAGTTAAGTTGCTCTAGCAATTCCATTTGGGAATATATATATATATATA